AAAACTGCATTATCAAGGCCCACAGAGTCACCTCAGCTCAGGCCGCTCTTTACCAGGTGTAACACTAAAGAGTAGGCAGGAGACCCTGTTTACCTTCCTGAATAGAGCTCTAGATACAGGGTGCAGAACACAAGAGCAGAGAGGGTACACTAACATCGAACAATACACTGGTTAGGCCACAGCTGGAACTCAGCTGGAGTATTGCGTTCATTTTTTGGCACCTTATTTATAGAAAGCCTTGGTGAGGAGGTGACCATAAGCACGGTCGAAGAGGAAGGTCTTCAATCGTGATCTGAGGAGGGGAAAGAGGAGCAAGGGGAGGGATTGGGGGAAAGAGAGTTCCAAAGCTTCGGGGCGTGGTGGCTGAAAGCACGGCTGCCGATGGTGGAGCGGAGTGGAAGAGGGTTAAGCAGGAGGCCAGACACAGCATTTGAAATGGATAAACAAATGAAGAAAATGATATTAAAGGCTATGTAGACAGGGCAGAGGAATGGGATTAGTGTAGGCTCTTGAGGGAGATCTCGCACCAGCACAGACACAATGAGCCAAATCATGTCCTTGTGTAGTATAAACTCTCACTTCCCCCTCAAGGAGGAGTCACAAGGTATCTGGAAAACGTGTGCTTGCGTTCTTTCCTAATGTCCAGGAACAGACATCTGGAATACCAGGAACTCCTTTCAGGCAAGTATGTTGACCGTCAAGGTTTCACATAGCACGTGCATAACGTTTTCCACAATTTTCTCCTGGCACTAGCCAGGACGCACACTGTATCTGTTAGGGCATAAACTCTCAAAAATATACTCCAGTATTCTGCAATCTTGAGTTCCGGTTGCACTCTCTCCGACCACTACGTCATCTTACATTCTTTATAGTTCACAGGAGAAGAGAGACTCTTTGACCATTGCATTATCAGTGCTAGCCATCAGAACTTCTCTCACAATGCACAAATATGACGGTGAGAATACAAAAATCCAGAGGGGAAATCCGAGCAATTAGTGTATGGTTGTAATCCAAGAGGTTGGTTTTACAATGAATCGCTTGGCAAATTACCTCTATAATTATGATCAATAATAATAATAATTATCCTTGCATCTAGATGTCTCTGTATGCACTGTAAAGTGAATTGACTGTATATTTTGTGGGCGAAATGGGGCAGCCAATTGCTCACAGGAGTGTCCCACAAACAGTCATGGATTGAGTGACCAAATTATTATTATTATTGTTTTTTTTCTTGAGGTATTATTATCAGCCATGTGGAATAAGGAAACTTGCCCAAGGTTTCGCCCTGCCAGGAATCGAACCCAGGTCTCTCACTTGCGAGGCAAGTGCTCCCACTGAGCTACAGGATTCCGATATGATTAATTCAGGGCTTAAAAGTAGCAAGAGTTCAGCGTACAATTAGCTTGCTCTCAAATAAAAACAAAACTGGCCACAGCCTCAAAAATCTGCATAGAAGCACTTATTTTAGTGTGCAAGAGAGGGAATTTCCTTCCATTTTAATAAGTCCAATGTCATTGCCAAACAACTCTCCACAAACAAACATTAATGTGCATTCCCACAATTAAAACCCACAGCGTGGACTTCACCTTTCTTTAAAAAAATAGAACATATCAAAATTTACTTTCAAATATATCACACCATGAATATTTTTTCTTGGGGAGGAATAGGATACATAAAGCAGCAGAGAGTAGGCACAGTAGAATTGCAGCACAATCAAGATGTTCAGATGCGTTCATACACCACACAGAGAAGTGCGATTTATGAAAGTTATTGGCACTTTCAGACTACTGTTCAGCCTAGAACATAAAGTCCCAAAAGATTGTTTGCATACACTGTAAACTAAACATTCATAGCTTGCAGTTCAGCAACTCATCTTCTCTTTTCATTGCCATGTTCTGCCAACAGAATGAGAACAGCGAAGCAACGCAGTTAGAAACGCAGGGTACGGACCACACATTAAAGATTTCCTTTGTTATAATAACATACTAATCCTTGCATTTGAAACAGTGCCTTATCACGTCATTCGGACGCCTCAAAGCCCATCACAGAATATATTGTAAAGTGGATTGACTGTGTATTTTGTGGGCGAAACAAAGAGAATTGGACAACATTAGAAAAGCAAAGCTGAGGCAGAGATACTTTGCCTTCCAAGAAATATAGCTGCAGCAAAAACCCTTACACCCCACCACAAACATCCACCACCATCCATCACCTCCCATTTGACACATTTTACTTTCTCATCAACGCCACATTAAAAAGAAAATCACAGTCAACCATTCATTCTCTTCCCTTCCCCCATGAAGGGCCGTGTGTCTGCCTGATTGCAGTAAATGTGCACCACTTAAAATAAATTGTCACCTTCCTGAATTTTTCAAGAGAGTTTCCGGCATATTAATATGAATGCTTGACTGCTTTGACAGTTTGCTTCAACTCATCACTGACATCCCAAATGACCATCTTTGATTCCAACAAGAACCAATGGGACAATTTAATGTGTTGCTTGGAAAGCAGCCAAATGCAACGATTAAGCCTGGTCTACTCACACACACTGCAATTTTCCCTCATTGGTGCCTTTACAATATTGCTGCCCCAATGCTTTCTGACAATGCGGCTGCTCTGGTACAATTATACCCGCAAGAAACACCAGCTTTCCCCAGGACAAAGTGCCATTGAGTGAAATAATAGTTTAAAAAAATTATCATTTGGTCACTCAACCCACTACTGTCTGTGGGACACTGCTGTGTGTAATTGGCTACTGTGTTTTACCCACAAAATACACAGCTAATTCACTTTACAGGTGAATTGTGAAGCGCCTTGAGACATCTCAACAACATGATAAGGCATTATATCAAATGCAAAGTTTATTATTAAATACAATCCATATGCTGTCAATTCTAACAAGAACAACACTGGATATTTTGTCCAAAGTACTGGTTCCTGACAAGGCCATAAAGAAGCAAAGCCTCAATCTAAACAACAACTTCCCCTACGCAGGGTAGAGTCCCAGAGGCCTGAACCTAAGAGCAGGTTAAATGGAAACGCTGACAGACATCTGGCTGTGAAAAAAAGGACAGACTTCACAACAGACATAAAACAGGAAATCTACATTTCAGGGTCGTGACAGATCTGAATACTGATTCTAACAGTACGATTCACACACTCAAATGAAATGCTGCATTGTCCTTCGTGTAGGAGTTAAGCCGAGGTCTTGCCTGTCTGTCCAGAGGACGTTAAAGATTCCAGGGCACTATTCAAAAAGAGAAGGGGAGAAGGGAGTTTCCCTTCTCTTGGCCAACAAGCAAATAAAATTGGTTATTCACTTCATGGCTGTTTATGGAACATTGCTTTGAATAAATTGGCTGCTGCATTTGCCTATAAATATAGTTACTACATGATGGTAAATCCTATGCGCTTAACATTGCTGGTTGAAGCACTTTGAGACAACCTCCTGACGTGAAAAGTAATATGTCAAATACAGGTACTATTATTATTGCTGTAGAGCAGTTCATCATAACAGACAACTTTTATAACCTCCAATCTCATTCCTAAACAGATATTTATCAACTGTTTTCATTGGAAGTCTAATGCACGGAATCCTCGTGGTGTCTAGACTCACTTGGCTCGGGAGCACTGTTGATTTGGAAGCCATGCCCTCCTGTTCTGTGTTCACAGTTCTATCATCTATGCTGTTCAGCAGTTAAAAAGTCTTGGATTATATAAACCCCTCAAGTCATTTTTCCTACCAAAAAAAACTTGGCAAGTCTCACGTCACAAAAGCCCCAATTTCCAGAATCAGCTCAGCCACACTTCTTAGAATTCTCCCTCTGTAGTGAATCAACGCGTTTTGACAATATAATACAAATTTACATTTACATTTTTATTGCCCTTTTACATGTCTCAAAGCACTTGACTTTGCTGCTGGGCACCCGAGCTGGGGGGTGGGAGCTGAAGGGAGTGCGGTCAAAGAGGTATTGAAGAAGGGGCTTTTAGAAAGAATGTGCCCCAATTTGTATATTATTTGACATGTGACTCACCAGAGATCTATGCAAATTACAATGTTATTTTGATTGATAATACATCGTCTCAAATGCCTTTTAAAATGTTTTTGGTCAGCCGGGTGTCTGACAGATGTGGAAACCCATCACTGTTGCTTAAGAGTATCCAAACCAAGCTGAGAACTCCAGGCATCCCACCTACACATGGGAATCTCAGAGACAGATTGCTGTAATGGAATGCGCTCTCTCTCTCTCTCTCTCCCTGGAGGGACACACCCTGCTTACCTAATGCCATTTTAACAACAAGTGGGTCAATTGTTATTACATGTTACAGCATTGGTCTTGAATTTAACTGAAATATTTGAGTTTCATTGGAGTAGAACACCAGTTATCTGCACCACAATTATCTACAGTGTCATTTTGCATTGAACTGTAAAGCGGAGGTAGACAAGGACTGAGATAATGATCAGAAATATTGCTGTGCACATTTGCAAAGAGTAATTTTCACCATCACTACCCCTTTTGTAAAATTCACGTTAACAAAAAAATGATTCACTTTGACGTCTTTGAATTTGGTTTTGAAAATTACTCTGAGTAACTTTTTAAAGTCCTTTTTAAGACCTTAATGTTAGAATTATACTAGAATTGTGCAAGATTAACTGATAACTGACAGTGCTAAGTGCACTGTTGTAACAAAGTCTGCAAAACCAACAAATCTTTTATACAGCTTCACTGAGCATAGTTCTTCTGATTTATATACAGAATTACAGTGGACCAAATGACTTCCCATTCTCTGCCACTGTATAAATATCTGATCCTGGCATTTCAAAAGGGCATTACAACTCTTTTTTAAGTTGAAGGCAATCCCAATTAATGCCGCAATAATACTTTTAGTACTATGAACAAAATTACACTCTGATTCAAACAAAGATGAAACATGTTTTGCTATTCAAACTGAGCTTTAAATTGACTGGTTGGCAGAAAGGTTTAACCAAGGTTACGTACCTTTTCTGTTGATATGAACTGAGGCCCATGTCGGACTCCGTCTAGAAGCAAAAAAAAAATAGTTATTATAGTCAAGGTCCAACATGCAAAATAGTGGGTGGACATAATTTTTTTCATAGAATTTTACAGTACAGAAGGAGGCCATTTGGCCCATCTTGCGTGTGCCAACTCTTTGAAAGAGCTATCCAACTAGTCCGACTCCCATGGTCTTACCCTAGAGCCCTGCAAATGTTTCCTTTTCAAGTAGCTTTTTTTTGTGCTTAATAAAACAAATGTAAGGAAAAATCAAAAGACCGCAATGTTTAACAGAATTAAAAGCCAATGTACAACCAAAGCGCCTTCTCAGGGACATAGCACAGTACTGATGAGCTGTTCCAGAGTAACAAGATTTGAGTTCCTTTGCTGTACACATTTTCTCCACCTCAACTTTAAAGCTGTTTTAAAACTTATGAAAGGGGGGAGAGAAAGAAATGAAGAGGATAGAGAGAGAGAGAGAGAGAGATTACTTGAAGTCAGATCCCTGTTATAATGAGATAAGGTGCTATATCAAATGCAATGATTATTATTATTATTACACGGTAGCTTGCATTCATACGATCTGCAAAATGGATTGTCATCGATCAGCACTCCTGGGTAGTTGGGTCACCACTGACGGGTCAACTTTCTACACTTGCTCCAGGGCCAGGTGGCTTTCTGGAATCATTATCCGTTTCTTGTGAATAAGCAGAATGAAACCCTGCTCGATGCTAGTTAGTCATGCCCTTGGGTACACGCTATATACTTTTGTGTTCAATCCCCTTGAAGCATACAGTGCAAGTTCCAATCTCACTCCGCAATCACAACTACCAGCGTAAAACAAAGTCCAAACATCTTCCCTTTATTAACTATTCCTTCATAGATAAGGGGGAAGAAAGGGTTAATAGTAATAATAATCCTTGCATTTGAAATAGCACTTCATCACGCTTTTGAGACGTCTCAAAGCGCTTCACAGAATATACTGTAAAAGTGAATGGAATGTATATTTTGTGAGCGAAACGTGGCAGTCAATTGCGGACAGCAGCAGCTCACAAACAGTCGTGACCAACTTATTATTATTTTTAAAATTTATTAATTACATTTACCCTCAAATCTCTGTGGCTTCAGCACAATTTCTATAATTTCAACCACATGTAGGGCATGCTGCCAAGAGACAAGTTTAAAAGACCCCACAGATACACAAGTGATTCTCTCATTAACCACAGAAGCACTTCCTAGGTGCTTTACAGTGACGTTTAGAGTAGTCGCCCACATCGCTGGAAGATCACAGTATGCGTTACGTCCCTTCACCTTGCAAATTTCCCACATTAGACACTGACATGATTTAATAATTAAAAGTAATAACCAAAACCTCATGAACATCATACAAAAAGCATACGCATCGTGGAATTTTACAACCCTGAAATGGGTCATCCCACCCATTTAAGTCTGTATTGGTATTTTTCTTCGCTTGATCTAACCCCACTCACCTAACCGACTCTCCATACCCATTAATATTCTTTTATTCCCCCCCCAACCAAATTCCCTTTTCAAAGAGTTTATGAACTCTGTTCTCAACAATTGTTACGAAACAAAAATCGAACTACTCAAAACTTTATCAGGCGTCAGTCAGCCTGGTTCAGTTGGTAGCAATCTCACCTCTGTGTCTGAAGATTGTGGGTTCAAACCGCATGTTTAATAATAAAGAATAATCCTTGCATTTGATATAACACCTTATCAGGTCTTCTAAACGTCTCAAAGTGCTTCGCAGAATATACCGTAAAGTGAATTAACTATACTTTTTTTGTGGGCGAAAAGTTTAGTGCTTTGATCTCACATTTCTGGACTGACATCCCATGGCAATATTTGAAAAAGAGAAAGGTGCATCTCTCAATGTCCTGGCCAACAATCCCCCAGTTAAAATTGGTCATTCATTTAACGGCTGTTTCATGGCAGACACTTCTGAGTGGAAAATTGACAGCCTTCAAAATACCCAGTCACATTACAGTACATCCTCTGGCGTGAAACTTACTAAATTAACAATAATTATTTTTTTTNATTTGTGCACACAGGCTGGGAGCAGTACTAATTCAAGGAGCAGAGCACACAAGCTCCACTCATTAAATCAATACTGTGTCTGCTGGGCTCAGTTAAGTGTATTTTCATTTTACTGTATACACAAATTTCACCAGTATCTGTGCAACAAGTGTGTGCCTTCATTTTGCAACTCTCCTCACGTCACATTATCCAAGATTTTTAAAGTAAAAGTGTAGCAAACTCTCACCACTTACTTCATTGCCCATTTCCCTCTTCCACTTCCTCTTTTTCTCGAATGCTCTGCCTACCACATAAGAGAAATTTCTGCTGGGAAAGAAAAACTTCCCCTCTCTGTAGGCTCGGCACAGTACAACACCAGCTGTTTTCAAAACTTCTCGTAACAAAAACTCATTTCAAAACTTCAGTTCCAGACTTTATCTAACTCTTGTGAAAAAAGATTTCTCCGAAATATTCCTTGTTCCTTTAAGTGCTCCGAGACGCAATCCGTGAAGGGGGCTACATAATAATAGTAATCCTTGCATTTGATATATTGCCTTATCACATCGTTGAGACATTTCAAGGCGATGACTGTGTATTTTGTGGGCAAAAACGCAACAGCAAATTGTGCACAGCAGTGTCCCACAAACAATTATAGATAAATTTATATAAATCAAAGTAAAAGTGTGCAAGTTGTCGTTAATATAATAATTTTCAAATCTTGAGCCAAATACAGGTAACTGGTCTTGAATGCTTTGCTCCTTGCCAAAAGAAACATCTTTCACACTACACTGTGCTGGTGGAGCACGATGCCGAGCCGGGGGGGTGGGGGGTGGAGATGACTGTAGGTACGGTCGAATAGGAAGGTCTTCAGGCATGACCGAAGGTGGAAAGGAGGGGGCAAGGCGGAGAGACAGAGGAAGTGTTTTCCAGAGTTTCCGGGAGTAGTGGCTGAAAGCGCGATCACCGAAGGTTGAACATTGGCAAAACGTCTCAAAGAACTACACTAAGTATATAGTGTAAAGTGAACCGACCACATATTTTGGAGGCAAACTATTTTGTAAGCGAACATAATGGCCAATGGCCTGATGCAGGTTTGCAAGAATCACGGCTTGGGGACCGCTCATACGTTCTTTATCGGGCATCTGAACAGGCAGATGAGACATCGGCATAATATCTCATCCGAAGGACAGCACCTCCAACAAGCCTAGACCACAACCTTAAAGTACTAACAGAGGACACAATTACAAACCTGACTGAGAGGCAAAAGTGTCACCAACCGCCCCAAGCTAACACTCTCCTTGACACACATTGCACTCATATAGATGACGTTTTTTGAAAAACATTGACACCCGTGAAGTTCAAATCATCGTTTCCAATTGCAGGGCAACCGATGATAAGATGCCTTGGTTTAGCACGGAATGGCTTAGAGTGCAAGGTGCAGTGTAGACTAAGGCGTTGTTCATCTGGCTTCCTGTACCAACTAGTAATTTCTGCACAAAATAATGGGCTATCTTCCAGCTCATCAGGTCGCCGCTGGCATCACTTCCTACATGCTGCACAAATGAGCAGAAATCAGCGTAAACGTCATATCTTGAGCACAGGAAGTGAAGTCAGCAGTACATCCTTTGCCATCGTGCAGATATTTTTCCTGCATTTTGTTTTAGCAAGGCTGGGTTGAGTTTAAAGACCCAGACACAACTCACCACCATATTAGACCGAGGGTGGGGGGGGGTGCAGAAATCATCCTGTATAATTTTTTATTACTATTTGTTGGTAATACAATATTGGCGCCTCACATTAGCAATAATCGAAGCAGAGATGTCACATTCACAAGTGCTAAGACTAGTATACCGAGGATGACACTCTGTGCAATAAATAATAATAATAATCATTGTATTTGATATAGTGCCTTATAATGTCTTTGAGATGTCTGAAAGCGCTTCACAGAATATACTGTAAAGTGCATTGACTGTATATTTTGTGGGCAAAACATGGCATCCAATTGCACACAGCTGTGTCCCACAAACAGTCGTGGATTGAAGTGACCAATTTTTTTTAAAAAGAAATTATTACCCCCAGAAAAGCGATTCGCTAATCGACTAACCATCAGGTTCCTAGTTACAGCTAGGTAAATAGAGGCGTGTGGGGTAAGGAAAATTGCCCAAGATTTCATCCTGCCAGGAATCAAACCCAAGCTTGCGAGGCGAGTGCTCTAACCACTGATAAATAATAATACTTTGATATACTGCCTTTTCACTTCGTCGAGATGTCTCAAAGAGCTTCACAGAATGTACTATAAAGTGGAATGCTTGTATATTTTTTGGGCGAAACATGGCAAGCAATTGCACAAAGCAGTGTCCCACAAACGTGGTGGATTGATTGACCAGATTATTGTTTTTACTTTTTTTTGGAAGGGATTATTACCCCTGGAAAGCGATCCGCCATGTGACTAACAAAAGGGATTCTACTTACTGTTGGTAAACAGAGGCGTGTGGAGTAAGGAAATTTGCCTAAGGTTTCGCCCTGCCCAGAAATCGAACCCAGGTCCACTTTTGCGAGTCGAGTGCTGTAACTAATACGCTACACGATGCCACATCATCATGGCCAAATTTCAGAATCAAATCATAGCATCATAGAATCATATAGCACAGAAAGAAGCCATCCTAAAAGAGCAGTCTGTGGGGCATTCAATTCGTATATATTCTAATACATTCGGTTCCTCGTTGAGGTGCCTAAATTTGTGCAGACCATCTTCTTACTGCTTTGCATAAAGTTGTTCCTCATTCAGATCATGGATCATGTGCCCTAGCTTTGTGAACATATCCAAAGCAATATTCAAATTCTTATCTGACTGTTTTGTTTCTCTCTCTGTTATGTTTCTCTCTCAAAGCAGAGAGAGGGAGAGGGAGAGAGAGAGAGAGACAATGAGATGGAGACCTACACGTGGATCTCCATATACATTTGTAAATGACAGAAGAACCTTTGGCCTCTGTGATTACACTAATTATCAGTGTGTATGAGCGGAGGTTTGTTGGATGGACCTCATCACTGGGATAAAATAAGTTGTGTGAGAGGCTTGATCCTGGCCTTCACAATGATGAGGTGCAGATATGAATAATTATTTGACTCGGAACAAGAGACACAAGTTAATATAACTTGGATTTTCTCCAACTCAACGTTGACAAATAATAACAATGATCCTTGCATTTGATATAGCTCCTTATCATTATCAATATATAAATAAATAATAATTTGGTCACTCAGCTGTTTATGAGACACTGCCGGGTGCAATGGTTGCCACAATGACCTACAAATACACAGTGACTACACTTCACAGTAAAATTGCGTGAAGGCTGATATAAGGCACTATATCAAACGCAAGGATTATTAGTAGTAGCCGTATAAGGAGACATCCCAGGATTTGGAAGCAGTGCAGAGGACGCAAGGAGATTGATCCCAAGGGACAGAGAGATGATCTATTAGGAACAAGCTAGGGTTCAACATGTTTGGAAAAGGATGGTCTCAGAAGCTTCATACAGACTTAGATAAGAGGCTGAATGGGATTTAGAAAGTAAACCAGAACAATAATCTCAGGTAGACCAAGGCAGAAAGAGGGGACCTGTTTCAGGTCTGTGACCATAGCCTGTATCCTCTGTGAGCCTAGCAACCTCATCCAACCGGACATTAAAAATCTCACGACAATATTCAAAAAGAGAAGGGAGTTTCTCCCAGTCTCATGGTCAAACAACCCACCAGATAAAAAAAGATCTTCAAAGCAACCAAAACCCTCATCTATGCGCAATTGGCTGCTGCGTTTCGCCCACAAAACGTACAGTCAATTCACTTTAGTCTATTTTATGAAGCGCTTTGAGACGTTTCGAAGACGTGATGAGGCGCTATATCAAATGCAAGGATTATTATTATTATGAAATAGAATAATAATCCTTGCATTTGAATTAGCGCCTTATTATGTCGTTGAGGCATCTCAAAGAGCTTCAAGGAATACACTGTAAAGTAAATTTACAATATATTTTGTAGGCGAAACACTATATACCCCGATGTCCCACTATTATGTTAGAATTTGGATGCTCTTTAAAGCTCTCACACTGCAGGTGATATTTTAAAATCTAATGTAGTTCAATCTTTTAAAAAAACTCCAAACGGTAGCAAAAGATTACCAGTTCCAATCATAAAATTCAAACTAGTAAAACTGGTTGACTTTCGTTCTTATACTATTAATATTAATAATAATCCTTGCATTTGATATGGTGCCTTTTCTTGTCGTTGAGACATCTCAAAGGGCTTCACAGATAAACTGACTGTGTATTTTGTGTTCTTGTGCTATTCAAAGCTCTCAATTGGATTAGTGGCTTGGATTCATTCCTATTCCCAACTATTTGCTCTGCAAATGCAATTTTCAAGGATAAAGGAGTCTAAAAGGTAAAACTAGCGTTTATTGATCCAAATTTAGCTATGAAGTTTCTGTACCTCTGTGCAAAAGCATTCCAGTTTGTTCAATTGTCAACTGGCTGCCGTGTTTCGCCCTCAAAATAAACAGTCAATTGACTTTACAGTATATTCCGTGAAGTGCTTTGAGACGTCTCGAAGGCGTGATAAGGCGCTACATCAAATGCAAGGATTATTTATCGGTATTTTTTCGCGGTGCGAACTTCAGAAAGGCGAGTGATTCTCGAAGTGCACCAACGCACAAAAAAAAAACAAAACCCAACACTACAAAGTCTGCACGCGCTTTCGTACAACGGCATGCTTAAGAGGTTCTGGAAGAGCGTTTAACGTACCTGTAACAAGCCTCCGTCGCCGAAGTGTATTATCTCAATTATGTTTTCTGACTGGATGAACGCTGAAAAGAAAAAGAAGAAAGACGTGAGCCTTTTTCCATTCATTCTCGACACCTCGGGATGCTCGTCTCCTGCCACAATTTGGTGACGAGGGAAGTTGCTAAGCAAAGTGATGTCATAATAGTACGGGGTCACTTCTTTAGATGACCCACTTTCGTAGGAGACTGTCTTTTGCTCATGAGGATCGCTCGCTCGCTCTCTCCCTCTGAATTCGTTATAGCTGTTACATCAAGTGAGGTCACAATCGATCAGGTACACTTTCGATCAGGTTTCTCCGAACCCACCGTGACACGTCCCAAGTGCTAAACTTAGGGCACTCCACAAAACTGTGGCACGCGGGTTTTCTGGCTCACTCACCATCCAGTTCGCGGCACTTTTCAGATGCAAAATCAGGTCTCTAACTGCCCCCCCCCCCCCCCACCCCAATAACAATCCTTGAATTTGATATAGCGCCTTATCACGTCGTTGAGGTGTCTCAAAGCGCTTTGCGGAATACACTGTAAAGTGAATTGTGCACAGTAGTGTCCCACAAACAGTCGTGGATTGAGTGACCAAATTATTTTTTTTAAGGGATTATTACCCCTGGAAAACGATCCGCCAATCAATTAACACCCGGGTTCGTACTTACTGAAAGGCGCTACACAAATGTTATTTGTTTTCGCTGTTGCTGCTAGTTAAACAGAGGCGCGTGGAGTAAGGAAATTTGCCTAAGTTTTCACCCTCCCCAGGGTCTTCTCACTTGCGAGGCAAGAGGTCTAACCAATACACTACAAGAATGGTACAAGGCACAGTCTTACTCCTCCTGAAGCAGCCAGCAATGTGATAAATGCCTCTCACTGGCAATTACCCATCCAGGGGCTGATGGTGCAGTGGCTTGGCTCATGGCAGTCGACCAGCACTGCAAACCCATAGCACAACGGCAGAGGAGCATTTCTGAGTGAAGCAGCTCTGTCATTCTCTCTCAACAACCATGGCAGAAGCCTAACTAGGAAATCAAATGCGAACATGTGCCCCTTCTTTATTTCCCCTCACTGACTGCCCACACTAAATATTATAATATTTAGCAGGGAAGAGATTACAGGGTATGACACTTTGAAAAATTATATATCAACAGAAATAAGCTGACCCGCCCCTGCATTCTGGGCTTCTTTGCGAAAGATGTTGAACGCAACTTTTCACCACCGCTTCTGCTGTAGGCATTTTGGGTACTTTCTACAGGTTGGTGTGACCTTTTGCAAAGCGCTGCTCAGTCACAATTCTACACGGCAAATTCTAACAGCGCGTAACCAATGAGGTCTGAAGGAAATGCTACCGACAGTTACTTCCTCTCCCGCAAACCTATTTTTCATAAAAAGCTCACGGAAAGGTGCACACTATTTACAGACTTGCATGCCAATGCTCGAATCAAACCAAGTCTGGAGCAGTGAAAGATCAAAATATAGAAACCCAATGCATTTCTCTACTTGAGCTGATCGGTGTCGATAAACTAAATGCCAACATGACTTCCGATCTAACCAAACCACAAGTTACACAGTTGACCCCTTGCACGCTCCTCTGAATCCAGTGGTATTAATCAAACAATTTTTGCCCATCATGAAAAACCACTGCAAGGTTCAGCTGCTAGGTTAAAAACTGAAAAAACAAGGTGCAGCAACAGCTTAGCATTCACATAGCACCCTGCAGGGCAACGTCTCACACCGCTCTGTCCCAGATGCAGTTTTGTAATAATAACTCGATCACTTGACATAGCAATTTGATATAGCGCTTTTCAAGTCTTCCAGACGTCTCAAAGTGCTTCAAAGAATATACTGTAAAGTGAATTGACTGTATGTTTGTGGGCAAAACGCGGCAGCCAATTGCGCACAGCAGTGTCCCACAAACAGTCGTTGATTGAAGTGACCAATTTATTAGTGTTTTGTTTCTTGAGGGATTATTATCAGGCGTATAGAATAAGGAAACTTGCCCAAGGTTTTGCGCTGCCTGGAATTGAACTCAGGTGTCTCGCTTGCGAGGCGAGTGCTCTAACCACTGAGCTACAGGACTCCACATAATACTCGCACGCCGTCAATGTAGTTATACATGACTCCAAAAGAACGTTGGTCCCTCTCATGTTTTGAAGATACACTTTGAGAAGGCAGCGTGCGAGAGGCATTTATTACTTTGCTGGCTGCTTCAAATCTTGATCACTTTACATGTGTGATAACGATTCATGTTACATTGCATACTTTGTTTGTTTTGTCAAACTACATTACAATCCTGTGAGCTTTTCGAGCCAACAATAGCAGTAAATCCATTGAACGCATGATTCTAACAGTCCCCGTGGAACCTCGTGAACCTGACAACCCGGACGTCTGACACTTTTCCGCTAAAAACACAGTTTCAGGGCGATTGGGCCCAATGGACCAAATATAGCGAGTTCTAGGATCAGTACTGCAAGTTCCTTCCCCCGTAATAGATATTGTTCAATGGACAGAATCTCAGCCGAGTCTCTGCTATAACCTCATTGAACATTGACAGTTTCTAAACCTTTATTCCTCTGCAATTTAAAATAATATTCCATTCCATGGCACATAAACATAGAGATTTTCAGCATAGGATGAAGTAATTTAGCGCATTCTGTCAGTTCCGCTACAGCCTGTGTTTCTGAGTTGACTTTATTTATCAATCTTACTTCCCAGCTTTTTCCCCATATCTTTCAAAACTTCTACATGATGGCAAACTTGACTAGCAAGCTTTAGACCACCAGAATTGCCCTTGCTGAAATCGCCCCAGAATAGAAATCTAGGAGTGAGTCGATCTTTGAACAACACGCTTGCTGTTACAGCATCAAGTGGGGTCTTAAATGTCCAGTGTTCTGGCCTCTATCCTCACTTTAACGCACTCCCAGCTGTTGATCTCTCTGTGTATGAAGAAATCCTTCCTAAAATAGCCCTTTACAACCCTGAACCAGCCTCCTCTTGTCCTGCTGCCTTGGTGTATCAGAAAGCATTCCTCCGAGTTTACTTTCTCTGATCCATTTAGCATCATATACACATCGCAGCAAACAAAGTGTAACCATCTTGAAAAGGTCATAGTGAGTTACCTCGTCTGTGTCATTTCAGATATATTTATCCAATCAGACACTGTAATATTAATAAACTACAATAGGAATACTAATTGTTGCATTTGGTGGGCCTTTCACAACAGGAGTGTGTCTCAAAAGTTTCAAGGGGATACACTATAAAGTGGAGTAACCCCACCCGGTATTTTAGATAAACGCAGCAGTCCATTTACGAACAACAATGTTCCACAAACAGCCATGACCCGAATAATAATAATCCTTGCATTTGATATCACGTCTTCCAGAGTCTCAAAGCGCTTCACAGAATATACTGTAAAGTGAAGTGACTGCATATTTTGTGGGCGAAACTCAGCAGCCAATTGCGCACAGCAGTGAAAAGCTGGACTACTGAGTTGCAAGTCCTGATATGGAGCTTGAATGTACAACCTTCTGACTTAGACGTAAGAGTGCTACCATCTGAGCCAAGCACACATACAAACAAACTTAACCAGGCAGACATGTGCAACTTTTTCAAATGTACATCCATTAACAATTATTATACATCACATATTCAGCCAAGGAAGTCGCACATCTTGAATCCTCTCCAAACTGCATAGTGGGCAATTAGGATGACTACTTGTTTTTGCAGACCCAACCTGCCATCAACTACAACAACAACTTGTGGAGTCCTGTAGCTCAGTGATTAGAGCACTCGCTTTGCAAGTGAGAGACCTGGGTTCAATTCCAGGCAGAGGGCGAAACCTTGGGCAAGTTTCCTTACTCCACACAGAGCCTAATAATAATCCTCCAAAACCAAAAACAATAATAAATTGGTCATTTTCAATCTACAACTGTTTGTGGAACATTGAAGTGCGCAATCGGCCGCCGCGTTCGCCCACAAATATACAGTCAATTCACTTTACAGTGTGTTCTGTGAAGCGCTTTGGGACGTCCTCCCGACCTGAAAAGCGCTACATCAAATGCAAGGATTACAACAACAACAACAACAACAACAACAAGATTCCATTTATGGAGCGCCTTTCACGTCAGGAGGACGTCCCAAGGCGCTGCACAGTTGGGTCATGACCCGAGCATTGGGGGGAAATGGTCAGGGTGAGGGGAGGGAAGGGAGGGAGCAAGGAGGGGGAAATGGTCAGGGTGAGGGGAGGGAAGGGAGGGAGAGAGGAGGGGGGAAATGGTCAGGGTGAGGGGAGGGAAGGGAGGGAGCGAGGAGGAGGAAGAGAGTCGAGAGGGGGTGATTATTATTATTATTAACTTGTACTTTATGTAGCGACCTTCACATTGGATAGCGTCTCGGAGCGCTGGATCAGTAAAGATAAATTAAACTGCACATTTCTCCCTTCTTTCCACCCCCCTGCCACCACCACCCAAAGCCAAGGACAGTTTGCAACTGTTTACACCAGTTTGTATGACTTCATCGTGTGACCATGTTTCTTCCCAATTGTGGTTTTGGCCTGTGTGACTCTGCTGGAAGTTGGAAGTTTATTGGGTGATAAAACTAGCTGGCGTGGACCACAGCTGGAACAAAATCCAAAATGTTCAATTTGTCAATGAGGAATACCAGCCACACATTCTCGTGCTGGATCAACAGCCAATGCACTGTTGGAGAGAACAAATTGTTGTTAGCTCCAAATACTTGCATATGGCGTTTTTTACAAGCTTAGATTTTCAAGACTGCATTAACTAGGCTTGCATAATAATGATGGTAATATTGAACAACAACTTGGATCTATATAGCGCCCTCCACGCCGGACGGCGTCTCAGAGCGCTTCACAGTAACGGATCCCGGGGCCGAGCCGAGGGGAGGGGGAGGAGACAGGGGGAGGAGGAGGGGGAGGAAGGTGACCAAAGGCGCGGTCGAAAAGAAAGGTCTTCAGCAGAGACCTGAAAACAGGAAGAGAGGGAGCGAGGTGAAGGGAGTGAGGAAGGGAGTTCCAGAGC